CTAAAAAAACTTTTCAAGCATATTTTCATAAGTATATAAAGTGACACGCACATAACGTTCGAAAGAAGCCTGTTTCTTTATATTGATACTCCGACACATGATATTGAAAGAACTGTCTTTATATTTTAATATTTACAATTTGTTTTTGTATCATTATCATTTTCTGTAAAAGAATAATCATTATACCACTTCCACTCATTACCCGGTTTCATGTAAATATATATAAAAAAATATGTGTTTTAAAAGTACTTTTTAAAGACCACATTTCTAAAGAGGCCGGTGTCTCCAATATTACAAATTTAGAAAGAATTTCATAATTTATTTATAAATAATAAAATTAGAGTTAATTTTTTAAAATTATTTTGTTATTCTTTCAATTAATTCATGCATTGTGTCCGACTTTACGCAAGTGATCAAAATTTCAGATCGATTGGACAGATATAGTATTGTGTTAAATATTAATTATAAGATTTGTAGCTGACAAACAACAAGAAGTGAAGTCAAATAGAAGTGTGGTAAAATTTAGTTGGGACATGTGCCGAAAATAGGAAGAGAGCTTGAGTTAAGCTAAGAAACCGTGAATGATTATGAGAAAAGAAAAATTGTAAAGGAGGAAGAATTCATAATACACATACGTAACACATCATTTTCACGCATATTACTAAGCATCTCATATATATTACTAAGCATCTCAATTCCATCGCTATGCGGTAAGCTGAAAGTGACATCACTGATACATATCAGTTAATTAAATATGATTTCAAAAAATTTTTCTTATCCCCAGGTAGGAATTTCAAGTACGTAAGTTCGTGGGTGTACTGAAATTAATATATATATCTATTAATATGAATTTAAAACAACTCATATATATGATTAAATTAATTGTATATGATTTCAAAACAATATTTCTATCCCCAGGTGTGAATTTCAAGTACGTGGGTGTACAGTGCAAGCAGCAGTTCATGCAATCGCACTGGCGCATGACAGTCAATTTGCAAAGTTACGGTTGCTGGGGGCGAGCTTCGCAGTCGCTTTGGCGCGCAAGTTTTGCATTTAAATGACGTCTTTGGCGCCGCTCATGGCACCATCTGTGCCATCTGCACTCAGAGAAGGGAATGGGTCATGTTAACCAAATAGTGACACACTTTGGACAACACGTTTGCATGGTAAAAGGTGGATTATACTCGCTCATTTTTCTCAGTGTACCTCTCTTGTCCGCGACGAAAGCTGAACGCTCCTATCCAGCAGCTGTATTTATTATCGCCCTGTTTAATTAATAGTAACAATTGTAGAGCTAATAATACCAGTATGGTTTTCTGCGACTCTCTAGGTTATAAAAATTGTTTTTAGCTTTTGGAGAAAAATGGCAAGAAAATTGCATGAAGCGCAGACTGTCGTCCATGTAAATTTATCGTGAATGCCGATAGCCTTGCCACAGCACTAAAGTCACCTGCCTTCAATAGAAACAATCTTTATTTTAATAACAAAACTGAATGACATCTTTCTAGCGCGATAGAGCTTTGTTATCATCATGTTGTTATCGAATTTACAGATCACATTTCTGACGAGTATTGTATAGTTTTAATTTACGAACGGTGGAGTATGTGTTGTTTCTGCCGAGTCGTGACTAATATATATGTGTCATTATATATACAATGTGTCACATTTATAATGTCAATATAAATAACGATGTAATCGCAATTTTTCACACGTACGCTTCACGTAATCTTTCTGTTTGGACCTTCAGTCATCCGACCGAAGTTTAGCTGGACATAAATTGTCATTCGTACTTCATTCTGATATGATACATTTTTTGGTTAACTTGGATATAATTTTGCTTATAGTTGTTTATCTTGTGTATTAGATAGCTAATATTTCTGATGTCATAATTACAGAAACTATGTCTTCAAGATTACCCAAATAAAACTCCTTGAAACCTGAATGTCGAAATTTCGCCTAAGCCACTAGGGCTTAACAAACGACTTATATATGTGTCACAGGCAAGAGGATGACAGTGTATAACCCAAATACCTTTGCTCTAGAATTGCATGCTTATCACAAACACGACATCGAATACTTTTTTTGCACTGTATCTGATTGATTAATAATTCAGTAGGCATGATTTGTTTCAACATTTTCTTTTCCGTCATAGAATATTTCGCGGATTCAATTGTTGTCAGGACAGAGATTTTCCACTCTGCCCCTTCTGGCACTCCTATTCCCACTTCACTCCTATTCCAACTTCACTCCTATTCCCACTTCACTCCTATTCCAACTTCACTCCTATTCCCACTTCACTCCTATTCCCACTTCACTCCTATTCCAACTTCACTCCAACCAATTCCCGGTCTCGTTCCCACCGGGAACAAAATTACTCCAAACGCTGTACTCAGGAATAGCGCCTCGGGAATCTCGGTATGAGCTCCGGAATTCTTTTTTGTGTGTCTGGAATTGGGCGGAGAGGAGCGGCTGTTTTGTCGCGCTGTTTTGTATTCAAAGAAACCTTTCAGTTCCAATGAACAGAGATAACCGTTCACACTCTCACCTGTACACACGCACCTACACACACACACTTTCACACACACACATATACACACACACACCTACACAAACACACACACTTAAAACACACACACACACATACACACAAACATCACGCACATTTTGGTTCAATTGGCGGCATATCAACACAGCGTTGGTACAGCGCCACAAGAAAAGTGAGGATTAAACAGATGCGACCGAAATAAAAAAAATATAACTCTGTACTCACTGCAGTGAGTGACAGAGAGCGCATTTTCTCGTCGACGAAAACTTGAAGTCACGGACGGACGGACGGACAGACGGACGGACAGACAGACAGACAGACGGACATGGCGAGCACAATAGTGCATTTTTTCCATAAATGAGAAAATGCGCTAAAATGAGAAAACGAAACGGTAGAGTGAGATGAAAAAATACCATGACTAAAGTTATTAATGAAAAGGTTATTAATGATTGAGTTATTAATGATTAAATTGTTAATGATTAATTTATTAATCGGTAATTTATTAATTATTAAGTTATTAATGATAAAGTTATTAATGATTAAGTTATTATTGATTAAGTTATCAATTATTAAGTTATTAATGATAAAGTTATTAATGATTAAGTTATTATTGATTAAGTTATCAATTATTAAGTTATTAATGATAAAGTTATTAATGATTAGGCTAAGTTGTTAATGATTAAAATTCCTTCACGGTTTTGGAGGTTTTGTACGAGCGATTTGAATGGTTTTGAAGGTTTTATTACTTTTATTATGAATACATACTGTGCTTCCGCGTTCCGTTTATCTATTTATTTCATTTAAATGTTTAATATATATTATATGCTTCCCATTAGTGATGGAATTTATGATGGAGATTTTGTTAATGTTCGTAGTGTGATTGCGAGGAGAAAAATTAAATATTAAAAACTAAATATTTAATTAATAATAAAATATTATTTTGTAGTGATTTTAATGCAAATATTATTGTGTAATAGTGATTGTTATTATTGTGTAATGATCTGGCAAAAACCATCTACAATCTGGTCCAATCTCTGAAATTTGTTGACGTTTGGGGACTAAATTAATCAATAATTTGTGCTCTGTAAATATTCGTTGACATATGAAGACTAATTAATTAATAATTTGTGAGTTTTATTATTTTTCCACATTTTTACAATCAAAACTGCGCCCATGATTCGCGTATGAGAATTGATATTCTTTTATGATAGTTTCAGATTGTTGGTTCTACTGATGAGATTATTCAAAATTTAGTGGTTTAGTCTCAATTTTTTATTCTGTTTAAATGTTTTGATTTGTTGAAAAGCGTGTTGTGATACATACTTATTATATTTATGTATGTTTTCTCCGTTATTTATTAATAATTCATGCAAGCGTAAATTATTAATTAATACAAAATAATAGTAACAAATGATAAACAAAAGTTGAAGAACCAATCAGTGTCGTGGTTTGGTTTGTTTATACAGGCTCAGTACCGTGATTGCTGGTGGACCACAGTCGTGATAAGCGGATTGCACAGCTCTGGGTGTGATTGCATTAGCTTTCTACAGATAAACCTTGATGAAAAGTAAACAACTTAGCAAAAGTTCTGTATCAAGTGCAAAGTTTTCAATTTAAAACTGACTAATTGAGACTTTTGGAATAAGCATATTGCAAGCACTAAGCTTACTATTTGTTACATTCGATTGACACACATTTTATTTTTTGGCGGTTCTTTTATAAAAAAATCGTCGATCGTCACTCGAAATGCATTCAGTCATCGATCGCGAGCGGCAAACGAACGCGTTTATCGATCGAAATAAAAACATATCACGTTCACTAATCAACGATATCTGCTATTATACGATAAATGATGAGTTCTTTAAACCATCGCTGCAACGATGGCGTCGAGAATGACAGCTACAAAAAAGAACGTTACGTACAAAAAACGCGTTTGCTACATACACTTAATGCACTACGTACACTAAGCATGTGACTAACTCTATGCAAGTTACTTACACTACATTTAGCACGTTACGCACTCTTTGCAAATTACGTAATAAAAGAGCCTTACGTACACTAAGTAAGCTACGTAAGTATAGTTGCACATTGCCTACACTAAGCACATTATACGTACAAAAAACGCGTTTTCTGCATACACTTTGCGCACTACGTACATTATGCATGTGACTTTTACTAAGCACTTTACATACACTTAACACGTTAGGTATTCTTTGCAAATTACGTAATTAAAGCTCCTTACGTACTCTAAGTAAGTTAGGTATAGTATGCACATTGCGTACACTAAGCACTTTACGTACTCTAAGTTACGTACAGTAAGCATGTAACACACTGTCAGGGCAAACACTTTACCCTAAATTTTCGCCCTGCGCTAACGATAACAGCGTCCTTGCAATCTTCCGCTCCGGTGAACAGAGGGAACTGCCCCTACCCTCATGCCAGTGCCGCTACCCTCATGCCAGTGCCGCTACTCTCATGCCAGTGCTGCTACCCTCATGCCAGTGCCGCTACCCTCATGCCAGGGCTGCTACCCTCATGCCAGGGCTGCTACCCTCATGCCAGTGCCACTACCCTCATGCCAGGGCTGCTACCCTCATGCCAGTGCTGCTACCCTCATGCCAGTGCCTCTACCCTCATGCCAGTGCCCACAACCCTCATGCCAGTGCCTCTACTCTCATGCCTTTGCCGCTACCCTCATGCCAGTGCCTCTAACCTCATGCCAGTGCCACTACCCTCATGCCAGTGCCTCTACCCTCATGCTAGTGCTTCTACCCTCATGCCAGTGCCACTACCCTCATGCCAGTGCCTCTACCCTCATGCCAGTGCTTCTACCCTCATGCCAGTGCAGCTACCCTCATGCCAGTGCCGCTACCCTCATGCCAGTGCCCGCTACCCTCATGCCAGTGCTACTACCCTCATGCCAGTGCCACTACCCTCATGCCAGTGCTGCTACCCTCATGCCAGTGCCCGCTACCCTAATGCCAGTGCCCGCTACCCTCATGCCAGTGCCCACTACCCTCATGCCAGTGCCTCTACCCTCATGCCAGTGCCACTACCCTCATGCCAGTGCCTCTACCCTCATGCCAGTGCTTCTACCCTCATGCCAGTTGCTACCCTCATGCCAGTGCTGCTACCCTCATGCCAGTGCTGCTACCCTCATGCCAGTGCTGCTACCCTCATGCCAAAGCAGTTGTATTAACCAGTGCAGATGTACTCAGTGTAATACAAAGGTGCACAAAGCGGTTTTGTTTATGATGAATAATGCAAAATTTCATTTTTATTTTCTTATTGGTGAAGTAACAATGCAAGAATTTCATTTTGAAAGTTTTTGGTTCGACTTCTATAAGTTTTATGTGCACCCATGGCAAAAAAATCCAGAGATTAACGAAAATTTCAAATCGACCATGATCTCACCTATGGATTTAATTTCATTTCATCCAAATTTTTCTTCATCATTGTCATTCATGCTGTTCTAGAGTCTCTCGCATTCAATCAACTTTGCTGATCAAATAAATACCTCCATCTTGCAATGGCATGTGGCCGTGCTATCATAAATGCTGGAGTCCCGTTAGCCAATCAATGAAGGCTTTTCAAGCTGAACCATCAATCACAGTCAAAAAATAAGCCGCTACGTGCACTTACGGGAGTTTTGATAGTACTGTCTTTGGATTATATCTTTAGACCGTCCAATATCGTAAATATTGTTGATCGCCATCATCCCACTGTATCCATTGCTACTATTGCATCTTCTCTTTCAATCTTTAAAGTTGTCCTGATAAACGAATTCATTTATCATCCAAGATTCTCAACCAAAGATTCAATTGCAGACCAACAAAAAGCTTGAGGGGATATATTACAGACGACATGTTGGGACCTGATATGAAACTCAGCAACCTGCTGTGATCTGCCGCGAATATTTCGTGATCTGCTATGATCTGCGGCGACCTGCTGCGTTCTGCCTCGACATGTTGTGAGCTCCTATGATCTGCGGCAACCTGCTTCGATCTGCTATGATCTGCGGCAACCTGCTGTGATATGTTGTGATCTGCCGTAACCTGCTGTAATCTGCGGTGACATGCTGTGAGCTGCCGCGACCTGCTGTGATCTGCCGCAATCTGCTGTGATCTGTTGTGATCTGCTGTAATCTGCTGTGATATGCCGCGACCTGCTGTGATCTGCCGCGACCTCGGTGATCTGCTGGGATCTGCAACAACCTGCTGTGATCTCTTGTGATCTGTCGTGACCTGCTGTGATCTTCTGAGATCTGCTGCGAACTGCTGTGATCTGCCGTGAACTGCTGTGATCTGCCGTGAACTGCTGTGATTTGCTATGATCTGCCATGGCCTGCTGCGATCTGCCATGATCTGCCGCGATCTGCAGTGATGTCATTCTTACAAGTCGTTACTCGACAGAACTTTAATTCGCTGTTTCCAATCGCCTTCGATTTTGTGAGCTCATCGGAAAACATGGAACAGCTATCGTCATTTTCCGGAACTGATCTGATCACACTTGGCCATTTTTTTATGCCTTGAAGAACAGCGATTGTTGTTGCTGACTCAGTGGGGCTCCGGAGATGAAAGGACGAGGTCGTTTATTTTTGCTCAGTCGAAATTGAGTTCTCATTGTTGCCGGCGATGCTAGAAAATATTTGTGAGATAATTACTGAACTTACCGCATCTGCTGTATTTGTTCAAGCACGACTACATCTGCTGCAGCTGTTCAAACACGGCTACACCTGCTGCAGCTGCTCAAACACGGCTACACCTGCTGCAGCTGCTCAAACACGGCTTTACTTGCTGCATCTTATCAATTACGTGTAAGTAATTGATAAGATAAGAACTGATGTGTACACCTGCCTGTAACTGCACCTGCTAGTAACTGCACCTGCCAGCCACTGCACCTGCCAGCCAGTGCACCTGCCAGCCACTGCACCTGCCAGCCACTGCACCTGCCAGCCACTGCATCTGCCAGCCACTGCACCTACCAGTAACTGCACCTGCCAGCCAGAGCACCTGCCAGCCACTGCACCTGCCAGCCACTGCACCTGCCAGCCACTGCACCTGTCGTCCGACAATGCATCTTCCAGCGACCAACATTTCCCTATGGAAATATAGGCGCAGCGCCGCGGCGCTCGTCATTGATAATTTATTTGTATTTTGAGAGTTTTTAAACGTCTAAATTATGGCCGAATTTTCGACGGCCAAGGGTGGCTTATCAGTGGCTGCTTTACTGAATGCAAATAATTTCTAAAGGGTAGGTGAGCGTCCAAGACAAGTTAGTTGATCAAAGTATTGGAGCAACATACACACGGTAATTATTCATACGCTAGTTATATACTTAGTCGCCGTGTGTTGGCTGTTATCAAAATAGTTACGAGTTTGAAACTCCGGTAGCCAATCACTAAGGGCATTCCAAGCCGTTACTGACCAATCACGGACGAGAAATCAAGAGCTACGTGCACTAAGGACGCTACGTGTTCTAAGGCCGCTACGTATACTAAGGCTGCTACGTGTACTAAGGCCGCTAAGTGTACTAAAGCCGTTACGTATACTATGGCCGCTACGTATACTAAGGCCGCTACGTGTACCAAGGCCGCTATGTGTACTAAGGCCGCTACGCGTGCCAAGGCCGCAACGTTTAATTAAGCGAGTTCTAAAAGTACGGCTATTATTAATCTTCTTTACTTAGCTTTTGTTAGTTTTCGATGTATCATATGAAACCGTCCCTTCACATCTAAATCAATGTTACCAGCTGCTCTTCAAAAATGAGAGCTGCTTTTAAAAAATGAGAGCTATTCTTCAAAAATGAGAGCTGCTCTTCAAAAATGAGAGCTGCTCTTTAAAAATGAGAGCTGCTCTTCAAAAATGAGAGCTACTATTCCAAAATGAAAGCTGCTCTTCAAAAAATGAGAGCTACTTTTCAAAAATGAGAGCAACTCTTCAAAGATGAATGCCACTATTCAAAAATGAGATCTGCTCATCAAAATGAGAGCTGCTCTTCAAAAATGAGAGCTGATCTCCAAAAATGAGAGCTGCTCTTCGAAAATGAGAGCTACTCTTCGAAAATGAGAGCTGCTCTTCGAAAATGAGAGCTACTCTTTAAAATTGGGAGCTCCCCTTCAAAAAATGAGAGCTGCTTTTCAAAACTGCGAGCTACTCCTCGAAAATAAGAGCTGCTATTAAAAAATTAGAGCTGTTCTTCAAAAAATGGGAGATACCTCTCGCAAAATGAGAGCTGCTTTTCGAAATGAGAGCCAATCTTCAAAAATGAAAGCTGCTCTCCAAAAATGGGAGCTGTTTTTTTTCAAAAATGAGAGCTGCTCTTCAAAAATGAGAGCTTCCCTTCAAAATTGAGAGCTCTTCTTCAAATGAGAACTGCTCTTCAAAATTGAGAGCTGCTGTTTAAAAAGAGACTTGATCTTCAAAAATGAGAGCTACTCTTCAAAAGGAGACCTGCTCTGCAAAAAAAAATTCTCCAAAAATAAGACATTATCTTACTAAAATTTAAAATTGCTGATTACATTAAAAATAGTGAGACGTTATCTGTGCCTGCTGCATGTTGCCAAAAACGCTAGATGTAATTCGTACACTTCTACATTAATTAATATGGGCTACAGTTGAAAAACATTAAAACATAATCTCTGCTAAATTTAAAGCATTACATTTGTGGTAAATTTTCCTTTCCTTAGGAAAAACATTTATGCTGGCGGTGAATGCAGCACAAGTTCATAATATCCTCAGCCTGGAAATATTAAATCTTCTAGATAGAAAATTCAATTTAATTTTTTAAAATAGCAAAAAATAGATGATTGCCTCAGCGTCGGTAATGGTAAGTTCTACGATGGAGGCTTGATTCAATCTACCGTCTCTGATCAGTTTTGTATGAATCCTGAACTTGAATTGACCTATAAATATAAGATTAATATCAAATTGCCAACAATCTTGCTCAGCTTTACGATCCTAGACTACAACCAGCAGGTGATCTAGGCTGGCATTGCAAACTCGCAATTGCAGAGTGCAATCGCCGGTGAGGGAATAGAGCTTCTTGTCATTCACGATTACCACGACAATCATCCTCATGATGACCTGGCATGATTAAAAAAACAGCCATGGTAGAAATGGAGTAGATGAGACCTGCTATTAGTAGAAATAGAGTAGATGAGACCTGCTATTAGTAGAAATGGAGTAGACGAGACCTACCATTTATAGAAATGGAGTAGATAAGACCTGCCATTAGTACAAATGAAGGAGATGAAACCTGCCATTAGTTAAAATGAAGTAGATGAGACCTGCCATAAGTAGAAATGGAGTAGATGAGACCTGCCATTAGTACAAATGAAGGAGATGAAACCTGCCATTAGTTAAAATGAAGTAGATGAGACCTGCCATAAGTATAAACGGAGTAGAATAGACTAGCCATTAGTAGAAATGGAGTAGATGAGACCTGCCGTTAGTAGGAATGTAGTAGATGATACCTGCCATATGTAGAAATGGAGTAAATGAGACCTGCCATTAGTGGAAATTCAGTAGATGAGACCTGCCATTAGTAGAAATGAAGTAAATGATATATGCTATTCTTTGGAATGGAGCAGATGAGACCGACAATAAATAGAAACGAATTAGATTACACCTGTCACCTGTAGTGGAAAAAAAATGTCAAAAAATTCCCAATTGCTTCTTCGCATGTTTGATCTACGAAAAGACCGAGCGCCCCGGACCCCACGCCTCACCTCCCCCCCCCCACGTGGATTTTTTTTTCGGAATAAATTTTTTTTCGGAATCAATTTTCAGCGGCGCCTCCCGTGGGGAAAGTTGAGAGCGATGACCTGGACCAACCTGCAGCAGACTTCATACTGATGACAAAAAAAAACAAACGTGTTGCTGCTTCAATCCTCCGGAGCTTCAGTGGGCCAAGATCAACTGCTTGAAATGTACCCTTCTTTCTTCATAATATCGTTCTAAAAAACAAATGAATAGAAGAAAGAAATTTTCCTGTAGCATTTTTTATTTTCTTTTTTTATCACTTGATGCGATCGCGAGAAAATTTAAAACCTGCCTACATCGACTAATGAACTTTTGATAAAGCCAATGACTATGAAACTAATAATAAAAATATTAAATTTGATATAAATGCATACAAAATATCACAAAGGCTCAACAAACCCCATTGACTCTCGGCAGATTTGTGACGTCAAGTACT